ACAAAATATATCCCCATGATCTTGCATCACTTCCCAATTATTATGTCACTTCTCTAATCACTTTTATGGCAAAATCCCTTGGCAAGAGTCATCCATACTCCATTTTGTTTCTTTCCAAGCTTTCTTAAAATTACTCCATTCAAACACCATTCCTTCACAAAACTGCTCAGATCAAGGTTATCAGGTACGGACACATTACCAAATTCAGCTCTCCAATGTAAGTTCTAAAATTATTTAAACTTACTGTGGATTCCTGGGCATCACACTCTCCTGGATTTCCATCTATCTCAGAGGTGAATTTCTCTGTCTTCTCTTTCACTTTTTCTTCCCAAACACTAGGTACCGGAGTGTCTTGTAAGTCAGTTCTCACACCTTTACTTTGTTTTTCTTCCTCATAAGTGAAACTATTCATCCCCAAGATTTGCATGCCGTCTATATTCCAGTAATTTCCAATCATGTATCTCCAGACTCAAAACTCTTATTTTCAACTCCACAATGTTATGGAACTTAACATGTAGGTTCCTTTTCAAGTCAACTGTTTGCTTGAAATTTCCACTGCTGAAAGAAACTTCAGCCACCTTAAATTTAACTCTACATTTCTACCTCCCTAACTTCTTTCTTTCCAACTACTTCCTGTCTCTGTTAGTAAAACTCTTGACTTCAAACTCCAGCGATACTATTTGTAATTATCCTTGACTATTAATTCTGTCATACCCCCATCAATCTCTCAGCAAATCTAATCATCTCTACTTTCAAATTACATGCAGAATCTAAAGGTGTCTGTCACCTTTATTTTATGGCAATCACTGTTCTCTCTCATTATCTATTCTGTCATCATCACTGTACACCATTATGATTTTTCACTGAGGCTATTACAACAATCTTTTACCTTTTCTCCCTTGACCAACTGCTTTCCTGGTTATATTCAACAGGCCAAACCAATCCCTTTAAAATACTCTGTGTTCCAAATTCTTCAATTTTGTTCCCATCTCACTTGGGATAACATTAAAGACCTTATGCCAACATAGTCTTCACAGTCTTCCATAATCCTCTTCCTGCTCTCTTCATTCATCCAACTCTTGCTACAACATCTGACTGTTCTATGACACATCAGACAGATCTGAAATTTACTATCTTTGCAGGTATTGTTCCCTCCCTTGGAGTGTCCTTTTTCTACATATCATGAATCCACTTATCAGGAAATCTTCCTTGATTACTTTTGATAGAATAGACTCCATCTATCCCTAACACTACTCATTACTTCAGCCCGGGTACACATTTTATCCCATCATATTGCTGTCTTCCTCATAATATCACCGCCTGCCATTTTGTTTTTTTGGTCTTTGCCTGTTTCCCCTGCCAGAATGTCAGTTCACCACTGGGTCCCACCACCGAGAAACAATACCTGGCACCTAGCATAGGCTAAGTAAATGTTTCTTGAATGAGAACATGAATTCTCCCCTCACAGAATTGACATTGTACTGGTTACTAAGACAAAGAAGCACGCAAATATAATACAATATAAATTTTAAGAAGTAATTCTGATTAGTACTTTAAAAACCATGCCCAGGCACTGAGATGGAGATTAATAGCTAGAATTTAATTTAGATTGATTGGGGAGGCTTTTCTGAGGAAGTGGTGTTTCATGATGAAAAGGAATTAACCATTCCTAAACTTAAAGGAAAGATTCTATTTCTTGCAAATGCTGCAAAGTGTTATTACAAATGTTTGATCAGCAACCGCTTTATAGAACATATATACCTATAAAAAATGTATGTAAGAATGAAGAGCACATTTTTACTCAGCCTATTGGTTAGTACAAATAAAGAAAACTGTTTGGATGTCAGTGAGATGACTGAAGGCATAAAGGGAATTTCCAGGTCGAGATACATAACAATTATAAACTCTGGGCGATCTCAAAGTGTGTATACTTTTGCATCTCTTTGAAAAGGATACTTTGTTGGAAATTTAGGTTAGAAGTAGAATTGAAATCCTTCATTCCAGTCTTATCTGACATTAGACAACAATAGTAATAGATACTCCCTAAGAATGTCTGAGATTAACAATTACCTATCTAAAAAGAACTAATATCAACTGCATTTTTTGCAAGTAGCCACAATTTATTGAGCACTTAATGAGTCTGACATTTTAAAAGTATCATCAACTAAGGAAACTCATTTGGTTATTAGAACAATTATGTGACAAAATTCATTTAACATACTTAGTGCAGTGCCTGGAATATGCTGAGTGTTTATTTACTACATCTAGTTTTAATACTAATAGTAATATCAGCTATCAATTTTGTATTATCAGGTTCCTATTCCAAATGAGGAAACTGATGTTTAAAAAAGATTACTGAAGAGTCCAGGAAGTCATACTTTTGTAATTATCAGCTTTGAATTAACGTCAGATTGGTCTGCTTTAAAATATAGTATTATTCCCTTTCTTATACAGTGATTTTATTTCTGTTCCTTATCTGATAGATTAAAAAATAATTATAAAATAACCAAAAATCCTTTTCAGAAATTTTCTGACTGCCATCCTTAGATCAATCAAGGCTAACCTCTTTCTGTTCACCTCTTTCACCACCTTCCATTTTGCTCGACTACATCATTGCCCTTTCTCTGTTTTCAGTTTCTCATGTCTACATTCAACTTTACATGCAGACTTGAAAAATTACTATTCGGTACCCTTCTTAAGTGCATATCTACATCCTTTTTCAGGACAGAAGTTTTCCAGCTGGCACACCATCTCACAAGTAGTATCCCCCTTGGCATTAGTGTACAAGTGCCAATCTCCACTGTCAGCTCTTTCGGTAACCACTTGGTGCCAGCCCACTCTGAACCATGTGGGGTGCCAGGGAGTGACCATGAACTATTCCCAGTTGCTGCTTCTGCTCCTGTGTCCTGTCAATGTTTCCTTTAGATCAGTCAAGTCCCTAATCTTTAGGAAATGACTTGATGACTACAGATGTATCTTTATCCCCCAGGAGTTTGTCTTTTCTGCACCACCACCAAGCATGACCATGTAGAGAAATTAGACTGTAAAATGCCCAGTTAGTGTGTCAAAATTGTAATTACAGCTGTAAATGGCAAGTACAAATGTTTATGAAATCTTGTTTAGCAAGGTTTACTTTGGTGACCAAAAACCCAAAAATCTCTTTATTTACTTTGCTTCTGTGATAATATGAAGTGGTTAGAGTGCACTCCTGGGTTATATTTAAAAAGAGTCAGTAGTGTAATTGGTCAATAATGAATTTCACCCACTCTAATCAGCCTCAAGGTTTGGCTACTATGGAATAGCAGAGGAGATAGTCTCCGAGTCAGGAAAATTTAGGACTAGACCTGCACCTTCATGAATTAGCTGCTCTGTCTTGAGAAGCTATTTACATTTCTCTCCAGGTTTTCTCATCTATATAAGAGGAGAATTTCTACTTTCTAATGCTGTTATAGGGATTAATTGAGGCATTAAATATGTAATGTGAGTGAATCTACACCTATAAATCCAGAGTGGGAGAAAATAAGCTTTCATTTTCTTTAACTCACAGTTTCTAAATGTGAACATATCTTCTATTGGCTAGTAGAGATATACAGATAAAAACTCAATTTAATATGTGCCTTAAATTTTATTATCACTTTCTTCTGGGAGCAGTGTTCACTGTTTGAGGAAATCATACAGAGGTAAGATTTTGCCTGTTAGATCTTTGATGAGAGTCTTGTCTGAGGTCACAAATGAACCTGTCTGGCCTCAGAGGCCCTGCAGATCCCATGGCTCTCTCACACGCTATTCATTGCCAAGCTTGTGTTTGAAGTATTTGGTTCTGGAAGTTCTATAGAGACTCCTATCCTAGTGCCCTTTTCTCTTTTTTCATTGCTAAAATTGAGGAGATAGGATTTCTCTGCTCTCAGGATCCACAGAAATTTCTCTCTTGCTTTGTTTATTACCAAAGCAAAGTGATTTTCTTTTCTTTTCTTTTTTTTTTTTTTTTAACTGATAAAGGTATGGGGAGAACCCTGCTCTTGTCAGAGAGTCAGTCTATTTGTACAACCTTTCCCCTGTGTATCTCTCAGGAATATCTTGTATTATTTTCTCAGCAAATACAGAATTCTGAACACAAATCACTCTTTTCCAAACTTCCTTGAAGAAAACAAATATATTCTATTCTCGCCCTTAAATGAAGGTTGGCAGGAACAAGAATTAAAGAATTAAATCTAGAGAAAGAAAGCACCTAAATTAGGGCCTCCCCCATGGCGCAGCAGTTGAGGCTGGGCTGCGAAGCTACCTGCAGCCTTTGCAGTGCCGGTTTGATTCCGGCTGGCCAGTGAGGGTCCCACATGGCATGCGGACCTCTCCTGCCATGCCTGCTGCTCCCCTCAGCAGTGTACTTCGGTCCTTCTGCCTGTTCTGCTCCCCGCTCTGGCTCTGGTGAATCCTTTCACCCTCCCGCGCTTCTGACTGTACCCAGTGCTTGTATAAATAAATAATCTTTTTTTTTAAATCACCCCTTTAAAAAAAAAGCACCTAAATTAATACTTCAAATTATTATCTTACCTTAGCATAACTACACTGTGACAATGATAGTGTGGCCAGCAGTAGGTATTCAAGAAGTTGTAGTTATTATTAAAATTTTGAAAAGATTTAATTTTCTAGTTTTGATCATGATAATGAAGGTTGTATCATCTCTGTCCTGGAATGCCTTTTGGTTCTGGGTAATCATTTAGAGATGGTTGACTGAGGTTAGAAGAAAAGCCTGTGACGATGGAATTGAGCAAATTTATTGGTATGAGATAGAGAGTAGAGAGGAATCCAACTGAATCTTTAGGTCTCCTGTGTATGTATCATGAAGTTCAGCCACCCACAAGACAAGCCATCAGAAATGATCACTTTCCAAGAGAAACACAAGCCACCCAGATAATCAACTGCTAGTAGGATATTGCTTGATAAGCCTAATTAGCTTCTAAAGAACTGCTAATAAGGATGCTATTTGCTTGTGTGAACAGGTTAAGGATGGAATGGTCAAAGAATAAAGACATGATATCTAGAAGGAAAAAGATGTTGTTGGAGCCAAACTGTCCACACGGGAATCCATGAGCCAAGTTCTGCAGAACATAGAAAGTCTGACTGTCTTCTCCGGTGAGTAGTAACAAGTCATATCTGTGTAGCATTTTTCAGTTCTGTGACATTTTGGTGTATATACCTCCATTTCCTCCATAGCATTTGTTGAAAAAAGTATGTAGGTGTTTTTTAACAATTTCTACTTTATAGATGAATAAATCTGAAGTTCAAAGGGATTCACCAAAGCTCAAACAGGTAAGAAACAGTTCAAACCTCAAAAGAGTATTTTTTCTATGGTATGCCACAGCCTCCTGAAATGCATGGCAAAGCTCCGTCTATGTCTGGTTTTTGATCTACATTCTTAAGGTTGTATGAGCTTTTTTGCAATGTTATTTACTTAAATTTATTCAATGGTGGGTCTTTTAAGTTTCTGTTCTGAGACAGTTACTGTTGCTTTAAGGAATTCTGAAAATTCAGATAAAAGACCTTGTTTTATTTTCTACAGTTGTTTGGTATTTGAATCAATATGTATGCTTTACTATAGCTGTCTATTTTTGCAATTTCATCTTTCTGCCATGCATGATCCTCATATCTCAACCCTGCTGTATTTTATCATTTAGTTCTTATTTTGCATAATTCTTTTAAATGAGAATCAGGAAGCATGGAGAATAACATGATGTGGTTTTAAAAATGAGTCTGCCTGGATTCTGCCTTTTTATGCACTCTCCCTCCACTAAGTTCCTCAAAAGACATAAAGGAATCTGGAAGTAGACATGCCATTTAATTTTCTTGGAATATCTTATCATAAATTGAGTCAGTTAATATATCTTTATAGTCCAATATTAAAAAAACAAGTCAGTCACTGAAGATGGTATGCCAGGTTAATCACAGATAAGTTTTGTCGTTCTTAAAGATGCTCTGGAAAGGCAATGCAGCAACACAGATTCTCTTTTTTAGAATGTAGACAGGACTGTTAAATGATGTTATGATTAGGCCTCTTTTCACCCCTGGAAGAGTACTGTATCTAACAGGTTGTTTTTAACTGATCTCAGAAAATTTAGTTTGTTCTTCCACCTCTATACCCTATAATTCCTAAGGAGTGTTAAAGTGAAATGATAAGGTCACTCAGTTAATGAAAAATACACAACATTTTCGTTTCCTTGCTACCTAATTCTACCTTTGACATTTGTACTTGGTATTTGAAACTTCTATCTTTCCCTGGCTGACCTGGATTGCTTCCCCCTTTTCCAGATCACATGAGTAGCATAATTATGGTAGTATGAATGCTTTGCAGTCTTCCTTCTGATTTTGTCTGTTTGGCTGGTACTCAGTTTATTTGCTCTGAGGATCCATCCTTGAGAAAGCCCTCACTTACAGATCAACCTTTTTTTTTAAGATTTATTTTTATTTACTTATGCATACAAGAACTGGGGTCTAAGCCAGAAGTGCAGGGGTGAGAGGATTAACCAGAGAGTGGGGAGCAGAACAGGTGGATTGACTGAAATACACTGCTGAGGGGAGCAGTGGGCGAGACAGGAGAGGTCTGCTGTGCCATGTGGGCTAGCTCCCTGGCTGGGAATTGACCTCATGCTGCAGTGGCTGGTGATAGCTTGATAGGAGGGTGATTTCCTACATGATATTATGAAGCATTTTTTGCTTTTTAGTAAAAAGGTTAAAATTTTTGAACTGGGGCCTGCCTGGTGGCCTATTCTTCCCACTCTGTCTCTGGTGAATCCTCTCACCCCTGCACCTCTAACATATACCCCAGCTCATCTATACCAACATAAGTCTTTTAAAAAAATGTTGAACTGTCTTACAAGGAAAATTTCTACCATTATGAAAAATTATGTATCAAAGGATCCTGGAGAGATGATCAGTCTGTCCCCTTTTCTGTCTTATAGTTATATTAGACCCTACAGGAATACTTTGATTATACAATAAGTTGTTTGTTTTGAACACACATGTAATTTGATTCCCACTCTTTTACCCCAGGATGTGCTGTATCATTCTGTTTGCTGTCACTGGAACAAGTAACTATATTCCTTTAGAATGGCACACTTACTATTAACCTCTCTGTAAACTGAAGGCTGCTTGTAATCAAATAATCATTGGTGTTTGTTAAAATGCGGAGTCCTCAGCCTAGAATTTTAATAATCATACCAGAAAAATTTGATGTAAATTCAAAGCTCATAAATTAAAATTACATTTATATAACCCCAAAGATGCATGGCCTATTGTAATCTGTAATTTGTTATTTGCTGAGTCATTCATTATAATCCTGGGTCCTTGATTTAAGGTGTGTATCCTCAGTGAGTGACTCCTCTACATTTGAAAATAGCATTGTCTTTTTATACGTGAACTCTGGAGAAGTTTTGCTCTATAACATGAATAGCGAAGCTTTCCAACTGTTTGAGTTGTTCTCAGGGCCCTTATGTATATCAAGTTACTGCTATCTTTGTACCCCATGTTTAAAATGCCTTTAAAATTATATTTTTATTATTCCCCCACCCCCGGTATCTCCCTAACATTCATCACATGCTCTACACAGATTGTAGCAAATATGTGGCATGATTACCTGCTCTAGTAGAAAGAACTCATACCTATGAGTCCAAAATGAGTCTTTTTTTACATATGTAAACTAATGATAACATTCCATTATCTGCTGATGTCACTTATTGTTCTCATGTAATTTGTGGTCAACTGTGATGCCTGATCTTTTTTTTCTTTATTGCAGTTTCCCAATTGTCCCTTTACCAGAATAGGCATGTATTCTATATCATTTTTTATTTATTACTTTATATTTTTCAAGTTCATCTCATCTGTTGTTTCTTACCCCATAAGTCTGATTTTTGTCCCTACTTTTATATGATTGCTCTATCCTTGGTACTGGAAACAGTTTTAATTTAGTATGCTTGGTGATTTAAAAAAAAAAAAAAAATCCCTCTACTCCTTCATGCAGATCATTAACTGCTTAAAAATAGGTTTAATCTTTGCTTCCATCATTTTCCCAGTCACTTAGCATTTTGCAAGTCATTGCTATCCATGTTTCTATTCTTCCTATAAATTATTCTATGGAGCATACTTTTGTACTAAGAATGCATAGAATGTGTTCATTTCCCAACGTAGGACTTACTTGTTAAATTGGGTCAGTCATATTTCTGTCAGCTCTCAAATTTAGTATATACCTAAGGAAACTAGTTTACTTTGCTCAAACTTATGTAGAAAAATGTGTGGTTCACTGTTAATGCAATCCTTTAGTGAGATTTGTAAAACCATGTGTGTATCATACTTTTGTGTGTATCATACTTTTATTGATTTCCCCACCCAATGCTTATTACCATTTGTTTTCTGTTGTTATTTGAAAGGGTCATGTCTACAATTCATAGTCCTTGGAAAGCAAGCATCATGATGTCTGATAGGGATGATCTATGCCCAAATATGAGATTATTTGACTTGTTCCAACATGACTGCTGTTCCAAAAAGCAGCTGTTATCAACCTGATATCAAAGATACAGACCTGTTTTCATTTATTGTTTGTAGGTGTAAAATTATAGACATCTACAAAAACTAAACAGTTATGCATTTATTGGCAGTAAGTGCAGCATGTAAAGCTCAATAGTCACTGAAAAAATAGATCATTTTTCTTTTCTCCTATTTCTGATTCATTGATAAATTTACAACTATCTAGAAATATCTCTATTGTTAAATCAATCCAATGTGACAAACATTCATTGTGCCTGTTAGGTACAGAGCATGATGCTGACTTAAAGATAACAAATAATATCCAATAAAAATCACACAGAAACTTAATTCTTTTCTTTATAACATATATTCTCTTTAAAATTGTCATAATAAAATATAAAATATTATGGTTTCTTCATCTATAATCACTGACTCACTGAATTATTTCAGTATTGGTTCTTAATAGGTTTTAAGAATATCTGGAATGTATTAGATGTTTAGTAAATATTAGTTGAATAAACATATCACTTCTACCAGTGGGTGTTTCTGTCCAGTGGGTGCTTGTCCTCAGTTAATGTAGGAGGGACTGTAACTTGTGTAACAAAAAAAGGATGAAAATCTTTTGGGGAAATTGTGGAGGCTGGTTAATACCAAACTGCATCCATATACTCAGAAAAGTATCTACCCCTTGATGTACTCATCTAGCTGGAGAAAACATGGAGACAATAGACTAGGGTCCCATCCCTCATTTTCATCTATACTCTTTCCTACTCCTTCTCAATAAGGATTTCTTGAAGGAACCAGAATATGTGGAAGTCAGCATATAGTTTCAACTTCTGGGGGGGGGGCACTTTCACACTTAGGGCTACCTTTTTTCTCTCCCATCTGTAGGAGCAGGAAGGACACAGAGCCGGTTCTCTAATCCAAGCAAACTGGTAAAGGAGATCTTGGAGTGCTCAGTGGCTTTCTCAGACTTTTATTGAGCTTTACATGTAGTGTGGCAAACAGGTACATGACTGGCAGGGGGGCTGGGAGTCCAGGAGGCCAGCAGGCCTCCAAGCCCCTGGCAAGGCTTCACTCTGGGCTACTCTGGCTTTTTCTTCCCCTTCTTTCTGCTGCCTCTCTCCTGCTTCTACTTCTCTTGGCAACTATCTCCATACTCCTCCCATGGCCCACAGAAGTAAACAACACAACAGTGTAACAACTGAGGGTGCCCCATCAGGCAGGGCAATCCTAATGGTGGGAAGGCAGAAAAGCCTGAAAACCATCTACCCTACACCATCTTTTGACCCCTATTGAGGCATAGTTGTCACTCATATCCTCACTTCCAGTCCACTAACAAATTTGAGTAAATACATCTGCTTTATACCTCTTGAGTTCACCTTTTTTTTCCATTTTCATTTTCATCCTAACTTAACCTGCCACATCTCTTTACTGAGCAACTGCAAGAGCCTTATCATTCTTCTTCCAGCAACAACTTTTAACTCTCCAATTTATTCTTTTGGAATTAGCATTTTGAAATGCAATTTCAGTAATGTTGTTTTCCTACATAAAGCTCTTCAATAATTTAAGCGACAAAATCTTTGCTAGGACCTATACACCTAATTATC